TGGGCGTCCTCAGCCAAGTGAAACGACCTCCTAGCTCCAGCCACCTGAACAAACATTCAGACGTATTATTAGGCTACAGTTGACTGAAAGTAAATCAAGTATGATTTTAATAATTATCTGACACATAATATGATACTCACTAATGCCTCGATCTAAAGCCTAACTCCCTGATATCCGGACTCAGATTTTTTTTCAATTAATCTTTTTTTTCAATTAAATTTTTTTGAAATATTTTTTTTCCCAATTAAATTTTTTTTCAAATAATTATTTTTTCAATATTTTAGGCCTGAACAAACATATTTTTTATTTTATGTTTTTAAAAAATTTTAAACATTTTGTTCAAACCAAACGCGTTTGTAATTTATATTTTTCTAAAAATAAATAAAAACCAGTTTATAAAATTTTCATAAATATAAAAAAAAAAAACATAAATGTTACCAAACGCTACCTTAGTGTTTAGGGATAAATTTTATTTTTTTCATTTTAGGGTTTAGGGTTTAATTCTTAAAATTTATTTATTTTTATTTTAATAAAATAAAAAAATTAAATTTTATCCCTAAACACTAAGGTAGCGTAAATTTTTAGAAATTTATTTTTATTTTTAGAAATTTATTTTTTAGAAATTTATTTTATTTTTTACGAAATAAATTTATTGGACCAACTGTGTTCACTTTACTTTATCTATTAGTTGGTCCAAGCATGGTTCACAAATCAGCAACAACATGTGTATTGAAAGCGTGGTTCACAACCATGCTTTCAGGAAAAAAAAAAAGAAAGGTAAAAAACATGGTTCACAACCACGTTTTTAGAACAAAAAAAAATTTAAGCTAAAAGCGTGGCACGCTTTCAGAAGGAAAAAAAAAATTAATTAAAAGCGTGGTTTGTAACCACGTTTTTTTAATTAAAAACGTGGTTTGGAAACACGCTTTTACGATTTCCCAATTTTCACGCAGGACAGACACACAAACGTTAAAAGCGTGGTTGTGAACCACGTTTTAGCCTATTTTGGGAATTCTTTCAAAACTAGGCTTAGTTTGGGAATTAGGTTGATAATTTGACTTATTTTGGGAAATAGTCCCAGTTTTAGAACCATTTTTTATTAATAAAAAAGGAAACTTTATTGATGAAGAAGCTATATACAAGGGAAGATCATATATCAATAAAGGGGGGAAGTGCACTGAGTATCATAACTAACCTCAACAATCCCAACTAGATTGGCACTGAAGGGCTAACACAATCATATATGACAGCACTTAACCCAAGATTGGAGAGAGACCAATTAAACAGTCAAGAAAAAAAAAGAAAACAATATGGAAAACAAAGCACCACCAAGGTAAACTAATCCCCTAAGCTACATATAACCATCTGAGACCCAAAATAGCTCGGCATTAGCAGTAGCAAACTGGTAGCAACCAACTGGCATCAACTAGCAGCATCAAATAGCAGCAGCAACACCTTTACTTTAAACAGTATCTGACCTGTTTAAGAGTAGCCACCAAATCATGTACTAAGTAATGAAAATCCCTCCCACTACTTCTCACCCGCAGTGCCACTCTTGTTTTTATCTGTTCAAGCATCTCATCAGCCACCAAATGTTTACCATTAAACATCACCTCATTTCTCATCTTCCACACAGACCACATCAGAATCAGAGGCACAACCTTCCATATTTTTCTCTCCCTTTTCTTCATCCTCACTCCATCCCACCATTGCGATACTTCAGCCATTGATCTTGGTATTGCCCACCATACATCCATCATTTTATCACACCAGACCATAATAACCAAATCTTTGGGCAATAAAGAAGAATATGGTTTAAAGACTCTTTTTCATTTCTACAAAACATACACAGAATACTAGCATTATCATTTAAAACTCCAATTCTCTGCATGAAGACAGATGTTTTGATTCTACCACGCCAAGCTAACCAACAGAAAAACTTCACCTTTGGAGGAGTGAAATTTCCCCATACTAACTTAGAGATTATGAGTGTGGAGTCCCTATCTTCCACTTTCCATCTCCAGATTGAAGCTACAGAAAACAACCCAGATGAAAATGCTATCCACCTCAAGGAATCCTCCACTAATTCTCTAACAATTGGGGCCTCCTGCAACAGAACATCCAACCTTTCCACCTCTTCCATTTCCCAAGCAAACAAAGGTCTTCTAAACTCCAAAACCCAATTGCTTGAATTACTCATTCTCAGACTAATTTGATTCAGAGAGACCTCATTCTCCACAGAAATATTAAACAATCTAGGAAACTACTTTTTGAGGATTATATTCCTAAACCATCTGTCACTCTAAAATTTAATTCTACTCCCATCTCTAACCATAATTCTTGCATTTTCCTTAAAGAACTCAACTAGTTGTGGGTTAGAATAAGCAATATTCATAATACTTTGCCACACTTAAACTCCTCTAAAATGGTAACCACCTACCTCCAGAAGAACCATATTTACTACATAAAATCTGTTTCCATAGTGACATGTCTTCAACCCCCGTATCTCCACCACCATTTCAAGAGTAAGAAATCATTCACTTTTGTAATATTCCTCATACCAAGACTACCATGGCTTTTGGGCTTAGTTACCACCTCCCAACTAACCATATGCACTTTTCTTTTTGTTTCTGAATCTCTCCAAAGAAAAGCAGCTTGCAACCTATTAATCTTCGTAGCCACACCTTTAGGCACTTTAAAAATAGACATGTAATAAATAGGTAAATTAGCCAAGATTGATTTTATTAAAGTCACTCTGCCAGCAAAAGAAAGCATCATCCTCTTCCAAGATGACAGTTTCTTTTTAACCTTCTCCATTACTGGCTGCCATGTTATTAGTTTCTTTGGATTTGCTTCAAGAGGTAGCCCCAAGTACTTCAAGGGAAGCTTTTGACTCATGCAATTCAATTTTACTACGAACTCATTAACAAGATTATCCTCAACACCAATCCCACACACCACACTTTTGTGAAAGTTCATTTTCAGCCTAGACATAACTTCAAAACACCTCAATATTCTCTTTACTGTTACAGTCTCTTCCCAATTTGCCTCACAGAAAATAATGGTGTCATCCACAAACTGTAAGTGAGATATACTTGCCTTATTTGTTCCAACCCTGGCCCCTTTAAATAAACCAATTTCTTTTGCTCTTTCCAGTAATAAATTCAAACCTTCAGCAACAATGTTGAATAGGAAAAGGGATATTGGATCCCCTTGCTTAAGACCCTTTTGAGGAGAGAACTCATCTGTAGGTGAGCCAAGTGATCCATTTATCACCAAATCCAAAATTTGCCAACAAGGAGAATAAAAAACCCCAATTTTTAAGAATTTTTGTATTTTAGTTTTAATATTTTTGATATATTATTTTATTAGGATTCTTGTAATTTAGTATAAATATTTTAGAATTATTAGGTTTCTTAATTTGTTTTGATTTTGTTTTTCTAATTTCTTAGGTTTCTTATTTTCCAAGAATTAGATTAGTTTATTATTCCTAATTTGAGTTTTCTTGATGTCCAAGAATACTTGCTCTCCAAGGTTTACATTATTATAAATAGCTATGTAAGCATCATGGCAAAGACAACTTTTATTTAACTTTTATTGAATAATATTAAGATATTTTTCCTTCCTTATGGATTCAAGGTTCTATTTTTCTCATTGATTTAAGAGCCCTTTTCGTCTACTAAAACGATATCCAGTCCCCGTGTATTCCGCTGCGTCAAGTGGTATCAGAGTATGGATTCACCTAGCTTAATGACACAAGACAATGGAGAACACATAATCCCTATTGACATTGATCATAGGGTGGAAGTCATATGGGATGCGATTGAGGAACATCAGCTAGAGGAACATGAACTTCGCAATGACATTTGTAATCTACTTGCTGATTTGGGACTAATTGTCAACTAGAAACAACTAATAGTTGACAACAATAGCACCGAAGGATTCACCCGAGGCCAATCTGCTAGCTTACGTTATTTTGCAAAATTTCATATTTTAACAGTTCAAGTAAGCTTCAAAAAGAAGATTTTCTTGATTGGTTCCTTGATCTTGAAAATTTCTTTGAATTCATGAAAATTCCTCATGAAAAGAAGATTTTATTTGCATCCTACAAACTTGATAAAAGTGCATTGAAGTGGTGAAATGGATTACAAGATTATCGAGTTTGCAAAGGTAAAGACAAAATTCATTCATGGTTAATAATAAAAAAAAGTTTTTAGCAACAAAATTTTACTTTCATGATCATGAAGATATATTGTCATATACAAATCAAGATACTTTCATGGAGTTGGTAAAAATTTGCAATGAAATTGTAGTTGCAAAATAAAAGAATTCACATCCAAATATTATTTATAGTGAGATTGTTTGTAAAACTAATGAAGAAGATACAAAGTCTTGTTCGAGTGTTGATAATGCATCAACACATGGTAATTTGAATATTGGGGAGAAAGTTTTACAAACAAATCATAAAAATATTGAAGAAAAAGGAGATCTAATTGAGCCCAGTAACAAAGAGAAAATAAAAGAAGAGATAATACAACTGCTGCATGCAACAAAGAAATTGGTTGATGCTACACTTAATATTCCAAGGTTGATAATTGAAGGATCAATTAAATCTGAGATGGTGCAACATCAAGAGAGCATGCAAGTTCTACATAAAGTAAATTTGATTGATTTTCTTGGTGTGAAGGAATTTAATTTGATTTTCAATGCTTGTCTAATTGATCTTGTCAACTAGTTGAAGCATATCGAGAATAACTTTCAGAAAGTAGACTTCTCTGCATATAATTTTTGGAAGAGGGACAAACAACTGAAGTATTCCAACTATCTTTTTATTTGGCATGGACGATGGCAGATCTCTCATATGAACTCGATGATGAGTTCTTTCAAAGAAGAGAAGCCTGATGTAGGACAAGATTTTCAGAATTTTTATATTTTTAGTTTTAAGATTTTTGATATATTATTTTAGAAAAATGTTTGGTGACCCAAATTTTTGTGACCCGAATGGCTCGAATGTATCAAAACTGAAAACTTAGTTAGGAACTAAGTACCATATTATTCAAAATTGAATGGAAACGAATTACAAGATATATATATATATATAAGACACTATGCTAACCCTAATTGCTACCAATGACTAAACTACCCTTAATACACACATATACTTAACATACCCCCCCCGGCGCGCGCGCGCGCGTAAACTTATGATGTAACAGCAAGAAGTATCGAGAGTTTGTCAAGCAGAAAACAGAAACGCATGATAGTATGAGACTTAGTGAAGAAATCAGCAAGCTGCATAGTAGAGAAGACAAAGGGCAAGGACAACGTGTGAAGTTGTAAGTGATGGCGCATAAAGTGGCAGTCAATCTTAATATGTTTAGTCCACTCATGAAAAATAAAATTATGAGCAATTTGAATGGCACTGGTATTATCACAATACATAGGAGTAGGACTAGGGACAAAGACACTAACGTCGGAAAGCAACCAACGCAACCAGACAATTTCAGCAGTGGTAGTAGCCATAGCATGATACTCATCCTCAGCAAAAAATCGAGCAACAACAGTTTGCTTTTTGCTCTTCCAAGAAATAAGAGAACTAACCAAAAAAAAAACACAAAAGCCCGTAGTAGACTTACGGTCCATAACATCACCAACCCAATTAGCATCAGAAAAAGCACGAAGATCCAAAGAAGAAGTAGTAAAGAACAATAAACTCTAATGCAAGAACCCACAAAGGTAGTGCCAAATACGAAGAACAGCAGCCCAATGAACAGTAATCGGGGCAGAAACAAACTAACTGACAATATGAACAGCATAGGCAATGTCGGGCCGAGTGATGGTAAGATAGACATGGCTGCCCACTAAGATCCGATATAAGGTAGGATCAGGCAAAGGGACACCATCAGTGGAAGTGTAGTGCACATTGAGTTTGAGAGGAGTGTCAACAGTGCGGGAGTTGGTCAACTTGGCTCGCTGAATAACATCAGCTGCATACTTGAATTGAGATAGAAGATAACCTCGAGAGGCCACCTCAATGCCCAAAAAATAACGAAGCGAACCAAGATCTTTCATCTCAAAATGATGATGCAAGTGAGCCTTAAGAGCAGAGATACTATCAAGATCGTCGCCAGAGATCACCATGTCGTCAACATATAACAAAAGAATAATGAATCCCGCAGAAGTAGAGCGCAGAAAGAGAGCCGAGTCATGATCACTGGTACGAAAACCCAAGTCACAAACAACAGTAGAAAATTTCTCAAACTAGGCCCGAGGAGCTTGTTTGAGACCATATAAAGGTTTGCAAAGATGACAAACTTCACCAGGTGCATGAGCGGGCCCAGGAGAAGGGACCATAAAGACTTCCTCGGCTAAGTCACTGTTGAAAAAGGCATTCTTGACATCCATTTGAGAGAGATGCCAATGACGCACAGCAGCAACGACAATCAAGGTACGAACAATGGTCATCTTGGCAACTGGAGTAAAGGTCTCCTCATAATCAAGACCATATTCTTGAGCAAAACCTTTAGCCACTAAATGAGCTTTATAGCGTTCCACAGAACCATCGGCTTTGGTTTTAATCTTATGCACCCACTGACAACCAACAGTATGTTTACCAGAAGGCAAAGCAACCAGATTCCAAGTACCAGTCTTATGTAAAGCAGAAAGTTCCTCATTCATAGCCTGTTGCCAAAGAGGGTCAGAAACAGTCTCCTTATAGGAGGTGGGCTTAGAAAGAGAGTGAATGGAGGATAAGAAAGTAAAAAATTCAGAAGAATAACAAGAGTTAGAAGACCTATAACGAGTAAGACATGTACGTACCCGTTGAGGATACCGAGAAACAGGAGCCTCATTAGCAGCAGATAATAGAGAGACAGCCGGAAGAGGAAGGGGAGGTGTACCTGCAAGCAAAACATGTTGTTTCTTATGAGCATAAGCATGAATAATAGGAGGGGGGACAATAGGAGTGGGAGACGAGGAAGAAGATGAGAGAATGTCAGAAGGAGACAAATCATGAACATAAGAATCAAAAAGGATAGCATTAGGAAAAGGATTGAGATAAATAAGATCAGATTTAGTGAAAAGGAGCAGATGCAGAGAGAATAGAAAAGAAGAGGATATGTTCAGGAAAAACAACATGGCGAGAAACATAGAGACGTTGAGTTGTGGGGTCATAACAGCGATAACCCTTTTAATCGTCACCAT